AGGGAATTAATGATAGTTTTAGAAGAGGAATGGAATCAAATCGAACCTGAAATTTTAGTAAATTTAGTTGAAAGTATACCACGAAGGGTTCAAGCTGTAATAGATAGTCGTGGCAATCCAACTAGCTATAATTTCAAATGATCGGCAAGTGGTCGGATATTTTTTGGAGGGGTGTACATAAGCAATTTATTTAAATTAATAAAATTTTTATGATTTTTAACTTTCTTTTATTTATTTTTCTTTACTTACTCTATTATAATAAAAAAAATTAACGATTCCTTTTCTTTATAAATATATTTATAAAAATTTAAGTAATTTTATTTTAAAATTCGTCTCTCATTTTAAAAATAGAATAATTATACAGGTAAACATGAAGTAGGAGTTCCTTTTCTATTTGCTTTCTGCTATTTTAAAAGAATTAAAAAAAAAGTGAATGTTTTACCATTTTCTTCTAATTGAATTTTTAAAAAAAAAACCTGAAAAATAGATGAAAACGAAACTATGCAGCACCCGATGCGGTCGAAAACTGCATAAATATAAAATATAAATAAATAAAACTAAAAAGAAAAAAAATAAAAAAATGAACTTATTTGCCGAAAAACTGAATAAAATAAATCGAAATTAAAAAAAGTTAAAAAATAAAAGATAAAAAAAGAAAGTAAAAAAAAATCGAAAAAAATAAAGAAAAAGAAAAACATACATTAAGCAGCAGCCCGAATGTGATCAAAAATCCTAAAAAAAAGAGAAAAGAAAAAAAGAAAAAAAAAAAAAAAAATATTGGAATTTAATACTACATAATTTAATAAATAAATGCCGCGAAATTAAATTATAATTCAGCTGTAAACTAAAAGTCTGAAATATACAGTGTTAAAGTTAACTCTATTTACGAAGTTGTAAAAAAAAAAAAATCTGTCTGGCATATTGTGATTGGTTAAAATAATTTTTTTTACGAGTGTCTGAAATTGGAATTCCGATTTATCTGAATTCCAACTTCAGACGAAAATCAATTTCTGTCACAAGTGTAATGTAATGGATAAATCGATCCACAATTTTATCTCGATCAATAAATAAACTAATATATCAATAAACATATATTATTTTTATTGTCCATATAGCACAATATTCAATTTTGAGTTCTGGTTTCCAATTTTTAGTTTAGAAAAGAATTATCAGGAAGATAAATTATCGGTTATCAAAATAATAATGTCACATTAATTATTTCCAATTCAATATCTCAAATACCACCAAAAAAAATGAAAAGAGAAGTTTCTATTTATTCTCGTGTAATCATTTATAAAATAAACAACTTTTCTTTATAGATGACGAGTAAAAAAGTAAATGGAGTTAAAAAGTAATATATAAAAAAAATCTACATTTGCAGAGCAGAAGAGTAAACAAGGGGAATTTCCTTTTTTCTTTCATAATCTTTATTTACTAAAATAAGAACAATTCTTTTTCCGATTTTAATTATTTTTTATTGATGAAGATAATCATAGAATCGAATTACACTAAAATTATGAGTAAATAAAGTTTAAACCTTTGTAACGAGAGGCAAAAGATACTTATATAGTTAAGAAAGTTCAATAATTAATGACGGAAACTCCGATTATTATGTATTAACGTTAACTGTTTATGTAATGTACACAGATCGAACTGCAAATGACCGTAATAGTGTTGATTTGTAACCTTGTACTGCCTCTGTATCATGGTCGTTTAAAAAGTAATTCCCGATCGGATCATTGCTAGGAAAATCAGGTTCCGACTATATTAAAATTCTCAGAACCTGACATTCATGTTTCTCATGATTTAATAAGCGAGTCAAATCTGTTATTTTACGTGATTTCTTATAAAATAATAGTTGCCTTTTTCTTTTTATTTTAATTTAATTACTCAATATATCTTTAGATATTAGATCATACGATTATTCGATTTTCCATAGACAATTAATTAGATCCTCAATAGACATAAATTGAAAAAGTATAGATATTCGAACTAAATTAGTTAGCCTCAAACCCAAACTCCCATATCGAATCATTAAATGATTTACACAATGATCATCAATAAATTCCTTTTTTCTGCAGATTCGGATATAGCAATATTTTTCTAAGTATGACATGTTGATTACTATAATAGTTAAAAGATAATTGTCCTCAAATGATACATTGAAAGAATGATTACAACGGTAAGGGATTTTAATCAGAGAAGACCAAATAATTCACGTCATTTGGAAAAAAATTCATATGAAGTTAATAAAATTACAATACAAATATTTTGTTATGATGGATGTTGGCCGGCCAGAAATCATGTGAGCAAAATTTTTCGGGGTGATATTGGTATAAATAAAATAATCATTAGACCCGTTATTAATCATTAATTTCGTAATCCGGATTTGATTTTTACAACATCGGAATCTATATTTATCAAAAAGTTAAAAATTGATATATATTTGTTGCTTATGTGTAATTTGCTAACTGAATGCTAATTTGAGAAAGTAATTTATTGTATAAATAAAATATTAAAATTAATTTAAATTAATTATAATTTTTTCCTATTCTTTCAAAACATGGGTAATGATAACTAATATACTTTTGATATTGATGTCAAGACATAAATATAAGTAATGGGTAAGTTGTTATTTGTACAGGTAATAAATAAAATATACTTGATTAAATTCATCTGGATGCAGGTAAAATCCATATTCAGGGAATAATTCTGACTCGGGTCTTGTTTTTTTTTAGACGGGTCTAGAGGTTGGAACCGGTTATTAACCGGTTAAAAAATTTTTGGCTGGTTCAAACCTCCTAGACGGGGGGTCAAAGCACTAGTTTAATTAAAGAAAATAAATGAGAATTTTCATAGCTTTCTTATTGGCGTATTCTATGCAAAATGTTTCAAGATCTCATGATTATTAATATCTGATCGCTGTTAATTTTTTTCGAGATGAAAGGGATTAAATAGGCTGTGGATTCCACCCATAAAGTTCTAACTTCATCGGGATGATCGCGTTATGATTAACATTTTTCCATTCGGATATGATCGTGATTTCACCAATCATATTGCTTATTGCAAATATCAAGTTAATTCCACGTTACTGTATTACTTGCTATTTTTATCCTTTTAAAAAGTGTTAATTTTTTTGAGCACACACTTTGGGAGGACTTTTTTAAGGTTGTACTTACAAAATTAGGTTATCTTCGAAGATTTTTAAAAAAGAAACTATCCCTTTTGTTGTCTAAAATAAAATTATGATCTGGGTCAATGAAATATCATCTATTAATGAAATTTCTCGTTTTTCCATTTATGGTGCCAGGAAAATATTAATTCAAAAATGCAGGAATGTTCAAAGTTAGATGTTAAACTCAACCAGTAAGGAATTTCGTAATTTTGTTTTTCTTTGCACACATCATATCCTATTCAGAATAAAATTTTTTTTTTTTGAACATTAAATCGCCGAGATGTTTATCTCTGATATAAACTTGGAAAGAGTATCAGAATTTATTTTTTTTTTTACCTAAAAAAAATTTTTTTTGTCGTGTTGGTGACAATAAAAATATAAATGTACTGATACTGATGATCATTTGCGTCATTGTGTTATACGACTACTGTGATTAACTGATCAATTCATTATAAAGTAAAGAAAAAGTTTTTTTTTTTATTGATTGACAAATAAAAATCCTTAATACATAACATAACAAAGACTTTCAAACAATAAATCTAAACGTTTTATCCGAACATCCTAATCGCAAATCAAAATTTGATCATATCTCTTTTACTTCAAATTTTGTATATAATTAAGGTATAAGTATGAAGGTTGCAAACATTTCCCAGCAATAATCATAATCATAATAATTGAAAATGACTCAAAATAGACCTTTTACAAATTTCGCTTCCATTAATAATGGCCGAATACTTTGGACACGATCTCCAAGAATTATTAATCAAAGAGGAAGACGAATTCAGTATAGAAGACGACGTAATGCAAATGTTCAACTCATCAATAATGAAGAAATGTTGAATCGGATTGTAAAACTTCCTATGCAAGCTACAAATGATCCATGCATAAATGGATTTTTCAATGGTACTTCGTTTAATTAAACCAACTTAAATAAAATTAAAAATTTATTTCAGGTGAGAAGTTACTTCATATTTTACAAATAAATAAGAATAATATTAACCGATTTAATATTGCTTTTTTATTTTTACATTTCCACAGCATTTCAATTTATCGTATTTTTTTTTTATTATTTATTTATGCCAAAGTAATATTTAATATATGTTAAATCCTTCCCCTCCCCTCATTAAGCTTCATGATTTATATCCGTATTCACGTTATAAGTACTTCATGTGTGAACATTTTGCTTTTAATTAATAATCTTTTTTTATATGAACGTTTTAAGATACCAAAATCCGATGATATTTGAAAAAAAAAAATGAATTTTGCCAATTTTTATATTAAATATAAACCATTATTATTTGTTTATTTCTAGACCCTTGACTTGACTACTTCTTTAATTTTCGGAGCATTATAGTTTTAATAAAAGCTATATATTTCAAACTATAAATTAATTACTTTATTCAAGTAAACTTTTTTTTTTTTAATTTTTTTAAGAAATTAATTATAAATTCCAAAATAAGAAAGTGAAATAGTACATGACATATATTTTTGAATCGAATTTAATATGAGTCATGAATATTAAAATATCCCCGTCAAAAAAAATTTTCTTTTTAAGATTTATTTAAAGTAAATTTGTTGACTTTTCTTTCTTTTCAAGCCGAATTATGATTAACAATAAGATAATCTAATTTTTGCAGGACACTCGGCAATTAGTATTTCCTTTTATAGAAAGGATTTATATAATATAATTCCTCTTAGAATTATAAATTTAAGAACGACATAACTTACTTAGAATTATACTATCTGGTATCTCAAAATTTTGTCTAAATGCTTGTCTAATATGTTTAATTTGCATAATTTGTAATGAAAGCTATGGTAGTAAATGCTTATGTTTGGCTCAAAAAGTTATATAGAGGAATAAAAAAATTAAACAAAATTATAAATTGATCATCAACCTTTATTACAAAATAGAGCAACAAAAAAAAATAAAATTAGACACAAATATTATTTCCTGGTTGCAAGCTAATATTTCTTCATGACTTTAAATCTCACCTTTTCAATTAAATGTAAATGTATGCAAAATGTGTATCTGAAATATGTAAAGTTAAATCTTAAATATTTGTTTTATTATATGATTTATCTATAAAGTATTTAAAATTTTTTTTATAAAATAAATTAGAAGCATATTATGAAATTCTAAAAGTAGTCAATACTTTAAATATTATTCCTATTGACTAAGTGGAATATTTAGAATTAATAGAGCAAGAAACTGCTTTTAAGATGATTCAAGTTCATATTCTAATAAATATATAAGATATATCTAAAAAAACTATACTAAATATCTATTTATAATAAATATTATTTATGATTTTTATATATAATAAAATTTATAAACTAAATATATTTTAAATATCAGAATACATTTCAGTAATTTGTTTTAACTATAGTTACCTAGCAAAACTCTTAGATTTTGATAGAATCATTAGCAAACTATAATAAAGCTTTATTGACAAATCTGTTAAAATTTAAAATTATAATAAAATTCCATTAAAAGTCAAAACTATATTATATACTTATT